TTTTGTTTTTATTCTTGCAGGGAGTGAAGGAAGTCAAGGAACCACGGATTCTTATTCTTGCAATGTAAGTTGCTCTTAAATTTTTTTTTATAAAATGGTATGTGTATATAATTGTTACTTTAAAATTACTTATATTGTATATAATTATATTGTAGATGGAGAGCTCTCAATCCAAACGGTCTGCTTCTTTTTCTGAACAAACGTCACAGCCACTTTCTGAAAAGGATATGGAAGAATTGCAATCTACTTTGCCTCCTGATAAGAAGCTAAAAGCGGGGCGGGAATATATATGGAACAGAAAAAGTAAGAGGAAAGCTGAGTATTGGAAATATTACTTAGAGTACGTCGAGAATGGAAAACTACGAGCTGAATGTAAGTTCTGTCCTAAAACTTTTGCTGCTGATGGTAATCTTAATGGTTCAAAAAATGTTAAAAACCATGCAGAATCATGTCTCGGTAATCCTATTAATATAGAAAAAGAAAAGGGCAAAGAAAATCAAACTAAATTGTATTTTGATCAAGAACATGAGAGTAGTGAATTAAAGTGTGGGAATAGGATTATTAACTTGAATGATGTTAGAGAGGCATTGATTCACATGATTATTGTTGATGAGTTACCATTTAAGCATGTGGAAAAACCCGGTTTTAGGCACTTTGTGCAAGTTGCATGTCCACAATTTCACATTCCATCTCGTGTTACCATTGCTCGTGATTGTTTAAAGTTGTATTATAGTGAAAAAGAGAAATTGAGAGAAATGTTTAAGACATGTCAAAGAATTTCTGTGACCACTGATACTTGGACTTCAATACAAGAATTAATTATATGTGTCTTACAGCTCATTTCATTGATAATGATTGGAAATTGAATAAAAAGATCATAAATTTTTGTCCAATTTCTAGTCATAAAGGAGAGGCTATTGGAAAAGCAGTTGAGGCATGTTTAGAGTATTGGGGTATTGATGATAAACTTTTTACTGTCACTGTTGATAATGCTTCTTCAAATGATGTTGCTTGTGCACACTTGAGTAGAATGGTTAGAAGAACAGGATGTATAAATGATGGAAAAAATCTTCATGTTAGATGCATTGCTCATATCATTAATTTAATTGTGTGGGATGATATTAGAGAACATGGTGTGTGCATTGATAGAGTTAGAAATGTTGTGAAATATGTTAAGAATTCCCCTGCAAGAATACTTATATTCAAAGATCTTGTGCAAAAAGCAAACATAGATTCAAAATCTTCTTTATCCTTTGATTTCCCCACTCGTTGGAACTCCACATACATAATGTTGGAAACGACTTTGAAGTTTCGACGTGTTTTTAGTGGGTTATCTCTTCCTGATGGAGAGGATTTGAATGACAATGAAAGGCCTCCCGAACCCGAAGATTGGGAAAAAGTGGAGAGGTTGGTTTTGTTTCTAGAGGGGTTTTATCTGTTAACTAAACGAATTTCTGGTTCCCATTATGTGACAGCTAATAAAGGTTTAGGAGAAATTGCTTCTATGTATGATATGTTGAATAATTGGGAACAAAGTGAGGACTTGAATTTTCAAGCTATGGCCATTGCAATGAAAAAAAAGTTTGATAAGTATTGGGGGGATGTGGATAAGATGAATAAGTTCATTTATGTTGCTCTTCTTCTCGACCCTCACTCTAAGATGATCATTGTTGAATTGACACTAACGGATATGCATGGACCGGAAAAGGGTACAAAACTTGCTAATGATGTGAAGGAGTTCGCTTACTCTTTATTTGAGGAATATAGAAAAATGTATGCTACTTCTAATATTCCAGATTGTGGAGATAATATGTCAATGGATATTGATAATAGTAAAGGAGTGGGTTCCGATTATGTGAGGAAACTAAAAGAAAGAGCAAAACGATTGAAGGGGACAAGTGGGTATGCGATAAGTGAGTTGGATAGGTACTTAAATGATCAATTAGGGCCGGAGGAGGAAGAACAAGATGCATTGACATGGTGGGGTAAGAATGGTCAGCGTTATGTGATTCTTAATCGCATGGCACGTGACATACTAGCCATCCCATTGTCGACCGTTGCATCGGAATCTGCTTTTAGTACGGGAGGTCGTACTCTAGATCCATTTCGGAGTTCTTTAACTCCTAAGGTAATGCATCGTTATCTTTTTATTTTATAAAATCAAGTTTGTTTATATCTTAATATGACTTTGTTTATACATATTTGCGTAATATTTTTGTATTGAAGATGGTTCAAGCGTTACTTTGCACACAAGATTGGCTTAGAGCTAAGGAAGTGCCAATTGTTGATGTGGAAGAAAATTTGAAAGAGTTAGAGGAAATAGAGAAAGGTAGTAATAATTTTATGTATTTGAAATTTTGTTACACCAAATTTATTATTTCATTGTTATCAATCATTAATATATTCTATATTGTATTTTATTTAGAGGTGCAACGTGGTGAATCTAACGATGTAGACGATGAAGTTGTTTTCGTGGACTCATTAGTGTAAATCACGCGATCAAAGGGAAAACAACTCATTGGAGAATTTATGTATTTCTAGTACTTGAGAGTTGAGACTTAAGAGAATTTATGTAACTTTATGAGTTTTCGTGGACTTATTTGTATTTTCGGTGGACTCATTTGTATTTTTGGTGTTTGAGAATCGGGACTTTATAGACTTTATGTAGTTTTGTAATTGATAATTTTGGTTTGTATGTAATTATTAAATTATGCAACAGGTCTAAAAATCACAAAACAGGTCCATATGCAGGTCCAACAGGTTTTGTATTAAAAAAAAAAAAAACGAAAAAGACACAAAACAGGTCCATTCAGGTCCAAACCCGGACCGGACCTGATTTTTCAGGTCTGGCCCGGAACCGGACCTGTTAATTCAGGTCCGGTCCCCGGTCCTCATAATTACCCAATTCAGGTCCCCGGTCCAAACAGGTCCGGTCCAGGTCCGGTCCGGTTTTGGACCGGTGTACACCCCTATTTACAAGTCAGTTAGACTACTCCATCTATAACAGACGACTAAACTTGTTTGTAATTAGACTCTCTACTATTCCACTAACGTGGGTTTGGTTCAACCAAATGAAGATTTATCATGATACCATATTGTATCATGATCCTATAGATTACCACTCCCAAAATGGAATAGCCCATTGACTAAAATATGCAAGATGAATGAGTTTTAAGGATTTGCTCGTGTATTTGGACAAGTAACCCAACAAAATTATTTTCCCCAAATTTCGGTCATTAGACCTAGTTATTAAAAAAAAAAAATCCAGTAAGCATATTGGTGACCTACATATTAAAGATGGGCTCGCGTGTGAAAGGGAATGCGGAAAAAATATTCAACATATTAATGTTGTTCACTTGTTCTACATCATAGAAGAACAAGGATGATGAGCTGAAGACTAATACAAGTACAATTTTACAATCTTATCTATTATCGATTTATCGATACTTAAGAATCAAAGTTGGCCAAATGATTGGAGGCTTTCCTTTTACCTTGCATGTGAAATTCCTAATTTCTCCCCTACTTACAATGGAATTTCCCTTACCTTTAAAAAAAAAAAAAAAAACCTATTATGAAGTACTCCGTTGTTTTTTTTTTGGTGACCATAGTTCTTGTGTTGCGGCCTTCTGGGGCTGAGGCTGTTTAAACTTCAAAGGTATACCGTATACAATGTCTAATGTTAAGTGTCTGATAATAGCGACCAAATATCCGCTTGGAAATATGAATTTACCTAGTGGATCTGGACCATGACCTTTGTTACCTTGGGCCTTTTATTAATTGGTACAACTCCAACTAAGCAGTCCGTTTTAAAGGTTAAGTTTAATTATAATAGGAGGTGCAGTCATTATGTATTACTCGTATTATTATGATGTACAGTCTTACAATTGTTATCAAAAAGAATAATTTACCATAGAATAATAACATTATCATCTACAATACAATCTCTTAGTCTTTGCTAAGAAGATTACGTTAAACGATCCCATATATATAAAAACAACGTATTCATGATTGATTTAGAAAATAAGTTAAAAGGAAAACAAGTTCAATAAGTGAATATCAAATGAATAGAGCATACCCTAATTCATGCCTTAGATTCACATGAAAAACATGTACGTTAATCGAAAATTCACTTGTGTCCAACAAACAGATTTACTAGCTCAAATGCACCCTCTTATGCTAATGTAAGAGAGTACTAAACCCATAAGGCATTGCTTAAGCAAATGCTATAAATATACTCTTTTTCGTAATTGGTTATCATTTGTAGACATTGTAGTACGGTACTGTCCTATTCACAACTTGAATTGAACTTTCCCAGTTTACAAAGGAGTCCTGGATGTTTTGAAAAGGACCTCTCAACTTAAGACCATGCATGTCGTTGTTGCGTTGCGACACTTCTTTCTCTAGCATACGTCAAAGGGAAGTACACATTTATAACAAAAGAGGATTGATGCGAAATATCAAACGAAGATAGATCTATATGTTACTCAGTATGGAAGTAGTAGTAGACTAGTAGTAGTAAAGGAGCACCTCCTCACTTCGATTTTATTATCGAAGATTGTTTACAATTACACTCGTTCCATAAATGCAGCCGTTTGACAAATGACAATAACTATGATCGATCAAGAATTGTTCAAAAAAGTTAAGCTTAACGGTTAAGGATACATTCTATTCATTCTAATTTTCATCTTTATGAACGTAAGATAATGCGTGGCTTGGATGTGTCAATGTTAATTTAAGGGTTTGTTCTAATTTACTGAAATGAATTGAAATAAGCTGAGATGAACTGAATTGTATATGAGAGAAAAAAAATTAGGAATTGAACTGAACTGAACTGAAATTAAGTTGAAGAGAATAGACTCTAAATATTCTATAGGACATTCAATAGATTTCGAAGAGTTAAAGCTTGAGACCGTTCATAAAGCTAAAGCATGCAATTTCAGTCATTTGAACATAATAGAAAAAACCTTGCACCTTATACAAATTGTTGTAAACTTGTAATATAGCCGAAATAGTCATAAGATCGTCACCATTCCAAAAACAATACAAGATCATACATTCATACCATATCCTTAGTTATACACCGTAATCATAACGCATAACATACAGCATCTAGACTACGTAAAACATCTACTGTAAGTCATAACTTGATTAATCGTATTAATATTTGAAGTGGCAAGAAACATGTACAAGCAGAGCTTTCCAACCCAAAAATATACTATAAGCAGACAAACTTTGGTATACAAAACTACAAAATGTGTTTCACTATTTACTCCCTAGGAAACCTTTTCTTTTTCTTCTGCATCTTCAATTCTTCATTCATCAAATCAAAATCATCTTCATTTTTGTTTAATCTAATTCTTTTTTTGGTACCATCAATCAGCTCTTTGTACAGTAGTTTTAAAAATCAAAACATACAATTTCTGATCCAAAGAAAAATAGAGAAAACCACCAACAGAATGAGTGACAAATGACCCAAAACTGGTCCCAACAATACAATGCCAAGCAGGTCCATAAACTCCATCAAGTTCCTGCATTCATTCAATTCAAAGCTAGTCAAATTTTCTACGCATTTGACCAACCAATCCCTTTATATGGATTTATTTGACATGACCAACAACAATACGGGTCCCAATTTTGAAGGTCTGAAATTCATGCAAATCTTATTGCCCACTTTAACATTAATTATTAAATTGTATTATTATATTGGTCACATTTACATTGACTGTTCAAACCTAATTAAGGGTGTCAAAGATATGGTTTATTTTAGTTGATTTTTCCCATTTTAGTGAATACAGTATAATTGCATTGATATATTGCATTCATGATTCATCAAGTGTCAAACAACTTAGGTCTGTTATAGCACTTAAATGTATGTTGTTTTCACTTGAACTTATTAAATTTGATTGAATTTACTCGATTATAAACCTGATTAGAACGCACTCTTAACAAGGTTGTGTACATCTAAATATCTAGTCCCTTCGATCCACGATAAATGGGAAGAAGGGAAACCTCTCTTCAAGGGTATTGCAAGATGGAACAATGTTGTTGATGTTCAACATCATTATAATGACTAACCAAAGATTACTCTAATTTACAATAGAATCATAATAACATTATTCTAGTTTTTCCTACCTAATGTTTTTTCAACTATAGTCTTATTTTTGTACCTACTCTTCAAAGTTCAAATGCAAAACGGCAGAATGTGGACCCCAAATCTGACCTAAAAAATTCAATTACACACCTATGACCTACTGTCATATCATTTCTCTGAACATGAATAGTCAATTAAACAGTATTCATTTCAAAATTTGGCCATGTTTCTATTGTTTTGGGATCATCAAATCATATTCAAAACAAAATAACTGTAATTAACTAAACCTATTAGTCATTCAACAAATCATAATCTTTCACTCTAACTTATTTTATCCAAAACCAAATCTATTGGACTGATCTTTAATGATTTAACAGCCATAACATTTACTACCCTTCTTTTCAATAAATTTGGTGTATATCTTCACTCAATCTCATGAAAGCACACATTTCAAAAACACAACCTCACACGTTACTAGTTCAAATTACACTATCAACACCACTATTAATCCCGAACCAACCATAAACAACAAAAACACTAAGAAAAACAAGAGTAAAAATAGTACCTTTTTGAGTGACAAAGCAAGGGTCTTAGAAGTGAATTTCTCAAGACTGTCTTTAATCTTCCTAGCAAAACCAACAGCATGAATCTGCATAAATGGCGGCATATCAGCTGAAACAACTTTAGCACAATTAGTCACCAAGAAATTAGCCAACTCCACTTTTGCATCACTAAATGACCTTCTTTTATCAATCCCATTAACCGCTAATGATGGTTGCTTAACCACCATAACCTTACTATTATTAGTATTATTACTTTCTTTCTCTAAATTCTTCACTTCTTTCTCTTGAACAACAACCAAAGACTTATTTTTGGCACTTTCTAAAACAACCCTTTTCTCATTTTTCCCAAAATTTTGATTAGAGGGGTCTAAATTAACAGATTTAGAGATGGGTTTAGCTTGTAATTGGGAGTTAATTTGTTTGATAGGAAGTGGGTTTTGGGTGTTATTGGGCTTTGTTGGATTGGGCCGAAGCCGTGAGAAGTGGTTGGTGAGGTTGTAAACGGTGGAAGTTGCGGTGGTGGACGGTTTAGGGTGGCGTTTTCCGGTGGTGGGTTGAGGTTGTGGTGGGTCCGGAGTGGCTAACTTGCGCCGGTGGGTCGGGTTGTGGGCCATATTATGTGGGTTAGGGTTTGGGTTTGGGTTTGATGGTGTATTTTGTGAAGGTTGGGTTGAGAAGTGGGTTTTGGTGGTAAGTTGCGCCGATTGAGGACTCAAAATATGACTAAGATTTTGGGGTGTGGAAAAAATGGGAGAAATGAAGGGGAAAAAATGGGAAAATGGTAAAGTGGGGTCCTTAAGTACATGCTTTTACATGCGTTTAGTGCAGAAAGTGTGTGAAATGGGGACCACTTTACGTGAGTTTTGACATATTGTCTCTTTTAACCAAAGTTCAATTACAAATTAACATTGTTTAATTGTTTGATTAATTAGCTATTGCTCTGAGGATATATTCACTTCATATTAATTTCACTTTAGTTCAGTTTAGTTCAATTTAGCTTCAATCAGTTTAGTTTAGCTTTTAATTTCCTTATCTTATAAAATGTTTATTTCAACTCAATTCAGTTCAGTAAATGTGAACATGTCATAATTCTTTTCAGCTTATCTTAATTAGTTATAAAGTTTGTTTTTCTTAGACAATATTACAAGTACATAAATTTGTTTATTTGAATTATTAGTATAAATATAGACAAAATAAGTTTGAAATAGATAGAATATATAAATTTAAACAAAGTAAGTTTAGATGAGTTTATATAATACTACTTAGGGCCTGTTCTCATTGACTGAACTCAGCTGAACTGAGCTGAACTGAGCTGAGCTGAGCTGAGATGAACTGAACTGAACTGAACCGAAATGAATATTTTATAAGAGAAGGAAATTAGGAGCTGAGCTGAACTGAACTGAACTGAACTGAACTGAACTAAGCTGAACTAAACTAAACTGAATTGTACTGAACTGAACTGAACTGAGCTGAACTAAACTGAACTGAACTGAACTGAGCTGAACTGAACTGAACTGAACTGAATTTCAACGTAAGAGAACAGACCCTTACTTAAATTAATTGTTATGTAGGTTAATACTCGATAGTCTAGGCTCTTTGAAGTACATGGCAATTAGATCATGAATCTAGCTCTCACGATTAATATAATCACATGTTAATCAGTGTTACAAATATTTGATTACATAAAGTTTATTATGTAGGGCTTGTTCACATTTATGTAATTTCAGTTCAGTTCAGATCCAATCAGTTCAGCTCCTAATTTCTCTCTCTCATGAAATATTCATTTCAGCTCCAATCAGTTCAGTTCAGTTCAGCTCCAATCTGTTCAGTTCAGTTCAGTAAATATGAACAGGCCCTACCTAGTTGTACACATTTTTTTAAGGAAAAAAATGTACTCATATTTCCCTATCTACTTTGCACTAAAGATAGAAATTCAGTGAAAGAAATTACTAGAAGTTCAAGTGAAGGAATCACCAATGCTCCCTTTCATGAGTATCCGTATGTTATTTACATTTATGATATTACCTATATTATTTTTTTATCTAAATTAAATCACAAGGACAATACAAATTACAAATAATCCAATGAGAATGAAATATTAGATCTTGTAACCTATAATATTATACAAAAACTGAAGTAATTGAAGCTGGACTGAATTGAACTAAATAGAGCTGAAATTAATATTATATGAGAGAAGGAAATTAAAAGCTGAAATGAATTGAATTGATTGGAGCTAAACTGAACTAAAAATAAGCTGAAATGAACAGACCCTTAATCACCAGGAGAAATAGCTTATTAATAGATGCAACAAGAATTTTGATATTTAACTTTCACTTGTGTGTTAGACTATTTGTACAGTGTAGGCAACACATTTCTTGTTCCTAATTGAAAGAAGAAGAAGAAGAAAAAAAAAAAAAAAAAAAAAAGTGCAGGCAACACGTGAGATGGAATATAGACAAACTTAATCAAAATTTGGCATTCGTTTAGGTTGTAATTGTCTGGTAGGCTGCTTTTGTCTCGTGCTGTAATTGCGATGATTAACATTAGATACTAATTTAAATTGTTGTCCCCACTTACTAATTCTGGTTATGTTATAGCCAACATAGCTAGGTAATACTTTTTCCCGCAAATGAATGCTCAAGTAATTCATGTGATTAAACCTATAAACCTAGATACTGTATTTAACATGATTTGCCACTAGTACTAATAATGCAAGCCAGTCAAATCAAGAACAATGATTTATTTAGACACTAACAATTCAGGCTAACAATTTAAAATTTGGGGAAATATATTTTGTTGATGATAGTAGTTACGAGTATAATTAAAACGTTTAAATCCTTGTATTAATAATAAGTTGCACTATATATGTATATATTACACTCTTATTACCATTTACCTACTCATAAGAAGATATACATAATGTCAATGGTAGATTACAATTTGAGGGTAACTAGTATTAAAGATAATTTTCAACATCATAAGTGAGCTGGAGCGGAATCTCATCCATTTCTACATAATCTCCTTTCAGCAATGATGACGAGTGCATACCAAAGGGTAAAGTTTAAGGCTTATCTCGGATGTACCAAACTTACTATGTTATACGAGTACTATGAAATTATGTATTGGTTCAAGTAAGGATGTGCTCTCTTTGATCATTTATAAGGATGAGTTAAGAAGTTCTATATTGGAAAATAACTTAGATTTTTCATAAACAAAATTTCAATTCAAGTGAGAATTCTTATGGGTGCACATATATGAATATATGATAATATGCAAAATCGACATGGAAAAGATTGATACACGTTTCTTCAAGTGTCCTTTCCTATCAAGTATGGTTTACGAGTACAATACTCAACTTAAGTGGGATTCACAGTCCAAAATAGTAGTTACAAAAATACAAGCCCATGGATAGAGTATTTCACTTTAAGCTAAAAAAGTGTTGTGTGAATACCACAAGCAGGCATCATATAGCAGAAGTTTGATTAAGATCACACAATGGGCCAATGGCTCCCACGGACGGCAACTAATCTTGTATTCCTAGGCAACATGGATGGTGCACACGCTTGCGAATGACATACGTGCAAGGCCACACGACACGCAATACTTTCATATCAGGGCCAGCCGTGCTAAGCATGAACTCTTTTTATTTGAATACAGAGACGCTTGGTGATAGAGAAATTGAACCTTGTTATAAAGCACATGTGACGATATAAATCCAAACTTATCCTTTGTTGGATTATTATCATCCATCGGTCCATCCACAGGCGGTGTAGGTTTGCACAGGATGTGTCAAATTCTTATGTATAAATTCGTGGTCCAGCTGAAATTGGAGAGTAGTTCATTGCTGAAAATATGCCGAGGCCTTGGCTCTTTTAAATAACATGCCAAAATCCATAAATCTGAACTTTCTAGGATTCAGCCAAATCATCTACTTGGGAAAGACATGCATCAATGATTACATAATAGCAACAACATGAAGAAGAAGCAGAAGCAGTATGGATTTGCATTATTCCATACGAGTGAACCCAATTATATATATACGAGTTGGTGCTAAACCAAAATGGACTTTACACAGCCTTATAAAGACATTAAAATTGCATAAAATTCTGTTTTTCTATCAATTCATTTACATCCATTACAAAAATCACCCTGATATACAACCCAAAATGAACACCAAGAACCGAGCTAACAATAATGTACGTTGAAATTCCATGGCACAACACCATACATCAGGAACTATATGTAGTACAAGAAACAAATACTACTAAATCAGTACAGCCGCGTTTATATTTGCAAATTAATTATCTAACCTAGTAGATACTACCATTTACTGCAAGCAATCAGCAAAATCAAGCTTTGTCCACCAAAACGGAGCATTAAACCTTATCTAATTTATACGCCTAGTATGTCTGAACTTGAGATTGAATATAAGGGCATTAATTCCATGGGCTTGGGTGCCGGGCATCTCTAAAACCTGAAGTGCCACCAGAAGCAGCAGGGGATGGTGAAGATGCAAAATAGTTTGTCCCAGATACAGACACGGTTGGCAAGTTTGATGGGTGACCCTGATTTCCTGAGGGAGCAAAACGTGAGGGACTGCCAGCAGCAACCAATGCTGCTCGTGAAGGATGAGGAGCCTGCACAAGCAAATAACATCTGAGCTGAATGTAACTAATGGATCTTTATTTCCTTCATTAAATTATTATCACTCCATAGAGCAACAAAAAAGTAACAAATTTCATTATTAAAGTCTTAAAGACACCTTAAAAGGACATTCATGCAGGACAAAACTTATTTACGGACTGCTATTTCAATGATTTGTATTCCGGTATTAAAAGGCCACTTGTGTTTAAAATGAGGCTTTCCAGAGATTCAAAGAAAAGCCAGCTTGAATATTTTTTAATATATTTTCCAAGAATACAGGATGCAACTGATGGTTTTCTTTTCCTTTTCTTTCTTTTTTTTTTTTTAATGCTCCCACAGAGCATGAACTTCTGATAGCGAAACAGAACAGTTATTTATCATTCATTAAATTGAATAAAATGTCATGATCAAAAGGCACTAGCAGAGAGCGAAACAAAGAATTCTTTCTACAATTTAAACCAGTTGATTAACAAATCATAATAGACAAGAATCAGAAAAATCACCCACCATTTATAGCATTGTTCCCAAATTGCTGATTTATATAGTGCACATGTACATATATACACTTGGCCTGTATATCATGGCCATCTAAAAATAAATATTTCCACTTTACCTCATGGAGAAAGATTGAGAATAATTTGCATCAGATCACTTAAATTTTCCTATATGTAAATTATATATACATGTAGGCATCCACCTTACACGCAGATGTCACTGAAACTATATCATTATCTTATCAGGCTCACCAGCTCCCACAAGGCACCCCGTTCATCTATGCAACAATAGCTTTTAACATTTATACTATTTAAGTAATTATATATCTTATCTTATTACTGCTTTCTTCTTTCCTGGTGGTTAATCTTTTTTTTTTTTTAATAATTATAGTAGATTTTGTTATCCATAATTCCCTCTAGATCAACAACAAATTCTTCAACCTCAATTAATTTGCAGTACACATCTTCAATCATTGTTCACTTCCCAATTATAGAAGGTCTTCAATTCCAAACCAATTAAACACATAGTATGATACTGTCACAAAATATGCATGCCTATCTTCAAAAATCAAAGGAATGCTAACCACTCACAAGGCTTGCAGTCATAACATCTTGAGATGTGAGCCATGTGACAAACAAGCATCCAAATAAAACTCATT